AAAGACCAAGAAACCCCGAATATAAAATGTAAAAAAAACCCTTTTCCCAAAAAATTTACCGCCCCCAAAATTTTTTTTTTAAACCAAAAAAAAAAGGGCCCGTTAAATTTTTTTTTCTCAAAAAGCACTGCTTTATGCAGGATTTTTTTTTTTATAAAGGGGTACACTTACCCCCATAATGCATTCTTTTATATCTAGCCCCCAAATTTTAATGCTCACATTTAAAAAAGTGAGATGAGCTCATGATTTAGTACTAAATATGGGGTTTGGGCCCCCGGCTTCAAAGCTTTTAGAAAAAATGGGACAAACCCCTTTTTGAAGGGTTTAAAAAAGAAATTTTTCCCCGAAAGTTTCAAAAAAAAAATTATCTCCACCTTCATTACTTTTGACACTGTCCCTTTAAAAAAACCCCTTTTGATGTTTTGGGCCCATTTTAAAATCACGGTTTTGAAAACCAATGTTGGTCCCCAAAAAACACGGTTTTGAAGCCAATGTTTTTTACCTAATAAATGCATAACCAGCTCACCAGATAAGCTGTGAGCGGGGAAAACTGGGGCCAAATAAGAGAATGGGGCCCCATGCACAAGTTTTGCAAACCCCTATAAAAAAAATTCTGGCAGCACAGAGTGCAAAAATGAGAAAAAAAATGCGACCCTTGTTTTTGGTTTTTTAAAAAGCGAATTTGCAGTGTATTTTCATATGGTTTTTTTTGACTGGGAAACTTTTTATTCCCTTGGGCTCTTTTTTTAGAAATTTGGGAAAATTTTATTAAAAGAAATAAATAAAATTTTTAAATTTGGTTTTTTAGACAAAAGTAGTTTAAAGTAGCTCAATGTAGCAGAAACATTCGAATTTTTTTTCCGATGCTCAAGAGTAAAAAATCCCTCACGCCCCAAAACACAACAACTGGTGGGTTCCAAAAATGTGTTCACGAAAGCGCTGATAATTTTTTTATACCCAAATTAAATTTCAATAATTCAAATAGTTTGCAAAACAGTAAATATTTCCCATTTTGTGTGAAAAAAAAATTCAAAATGGAAAGCCAGTGTTTAAAATTTTAAAGGGGTGGGCCTGGAGAGTAACTAATGAATAGAAAAATGTCATTTTAGTTTTAAAAATACTGCATGTTTATTCGGGGCCCCTATTTTGAAAAGGGCCTTTAAAAAATTTTGTGGAAATTGGTAAAATTACCAATTTCTGATTGATTTATTGGGTTGTTGAAATAGGTAAATGGTTTTTTTCTTGTATCAATCTCTTACATAGATCTATGTACATGAACTGATGCCAGAAGCCCCAACATACATTCACATTTTGAACCGGCCCCTCGTAAGTGTGAGTTTAAAATTTTTCCCTAGTATAGAAAATGTTCTGTACAGCGTGGTGCAACAGTAAAAAAAAAAAAAAAACCCTGCCATTTTTGGTGCATGAGGGAAAAGCAAACCCTCTTGTGTTTTGATTTAAAATATGACTTAAAGGGCTTTTTCTAGGATTTTTTCATGGTTTTACGGGGCTTTTTTTAATTCACTTGATAGAATGAAGACATGCAACTGAAATAGAATAATTTTGTTGGGGTCTAGATGGAAAAAAGTTTGAACAGGCCAAAGTGGTGGAATATTAGATTTTTTATTGATTTTCCTGGGGAGGGAAAAGGGGCCAGGGGCCCCCCCAGTTTTTTTGAAGGGGGTTTTTTTCTAGGTCTGCTTCAATTACGGGGACACCCTAAATTGGCCCAAAACATCCTTTTTTTTTTTTTTTTTTTTTTTTGGTGGTGGTGGTGGGGGGGGGGGGGGGGGGTTAAAGACAGCGAAAAAAAATTCTCAATCGGGGTTTTGGGGACAGTGAAAGGGTTAATTTAGGGATACCAAAAGTGATGGGGTTTAAGAAACAAAATAATTAAGCATAATACAAAAGACTTTATAAACCTTTAAAAATGGCTAGAAAAAAAAAGAGATACATGTAACTAAAATTTGGGCCAAAAACATTGCAGGGCTTTAATTCAATGAGATTGTTAGTACATATTGATACAATGACATGAAAAATGTGTTAAAAATTAGGTTGTAAATTTAATCAGCCTGTGGGTTTAACATGAAAAATTGAAAATAAAAATATAAAATGTCACTAATTTGCATTTTTTCTTGACAAGTTGCATTAATTTGATGAGTTCTCCCCATCCTTTATAAAACCAAGCAAATAAAAACAACTGTTAAAAAAAAAAAAAAAAAAAAAAAAAAAAAAAAAAAAAAAAAAAAAAGCAAAGCACCTTTTTCTATTTCTAACAAGGTAAAAAGGAGGTGGTGTACCCAGGCATCTGTGAAGACAGAGAACCTTATCATGGGACAAAAAAAAAATGTACCAAAATAAATTGTACAAAAACGTTATAGGATGAAACATTTTTGAATATTGCAACAAAAGGGGAGGGCAGTGGAAACATTATATTTTACGGCAACATATGGTGTGAAAATTATGCAGAGAATCGAAGGGGCATTTCCTAAGGGATTTTTCAGGGAGAAGGGGTTTTTTTTGAGGTGGTTTGGGGCATTTATAAAAGATAAAGAAAATAGATGGCTAGGAGGGCATTTAAATTGGGGTGAGGGGAAGTTGAATGTAAGCTGTTGGTAGGGAAAAGGGAGGCAGTTGGGTTATATGATCTGATGCACGTGGAGCAGATCAAAGCCCCATTAAGGGGTTCAGAGACTGGTTAGCCCCTTAGTCCTGGGGGCGACAACACATCCCCCTCTCGAATGAGGCGAAAAATGTTACAGTTCAAGAATCATCTGAACGGGAAGCATATTTTTGGGGAAAACAGTGATTTAGTGGGAGATGGGAATTCAAAAGAGGAATGGCAGTTTAAAAAATTTAATATATTCAATTAGAGAGAGAAATAAAGAAAGGAATAAGAAAAGCAAAAAGGGATTATGAGGGCTAAGGTCGCAAGGGTTCAAAGACTAACCCAAAAGGGTTTTCAGTTATACAAAGAAGATTAGGGACAAAATTTGGCCCCCTTAAGAGTAACTCTTTTCAATCTTGACAGGATAGGGATATTGTGAAATTCTCAATACCTACTTCCCCCATTTTCACACAGGAAAATACTATTGATATTCCTAAATAGTAGAATTTTTAGAACAGGACAAAAAAAAAACTATGCACGATTGTGGTACTATGACATGGCCTTAGACAAAAAGAGAAACAAAACCTAACAAATCCCCCGGCCCTGATTAACTGTTTGCAAGGGTTTAAAGGAATTAAAAAGAAACTTAGCATACCTTTGGCTAATCTTTTTAACATATCACTACAAACGGGCATAGTGCCTGGTAAGTGGAAAATGGCAAATGTAATACCTATTTACAAGGCAGGTGACAGGTCCTTGGCTTCGAACTATAGACCAATAAGCCTTACCTCTATAGTGGGAAAATTTGTGGAATCAATAATTGCCGAAGTGATTCGTAGCCATCTTGATAGGTACAGATTGATTAATGAATCTCAACACTGTTTTACAAAGGGGCGTTCCTGTCTTACGAATTTACTAACATTTTTCACTAAGGTGTTTGAGGAGGTAGATCATGGTAATGAATATGACATTGTGTATATGGACTTCAGTAAGGCTTTCGATGGAGTTCCACATAAGAGGCTATTGAGGAAACTTAAGGCACACGGAATAGGAGGAGAAATTTTTTCCTGGGTAGAGGAATGGCTGATAAATAGGCAGCAGAGAGTTTGCATAAATGGGGAGAAATCAGAATGGGGGCACGTCACTTGTGGTGTTCCTCAGAGGTCAGTGTTGGGACCGTTGTTGTTCACAATTTACATAAACGACATAGATGAGGGATTAAATAGCAACAAAAGCAAATTTGCTGATGACACCAAAATACGCCATCCAATTCATTCTAATGAGGACACTAGAGAATTCCAGGATGATTTGAAAAGACTGATGCAATGGTCGGAGAAGTGGCAGATGCAGTTTAATACAGACAAATGCAAAGTTCTAAATGTTGGACAGGAAAATAACCATGCGACATATAAACTAAATAATGTACATCTTAATACCACTGATTGCGAAAAGGATTTAGGAGTTCTGGTTAGCAGTAATCTAAAACCAAGACAACAGTGCATTAGTGTTCGCAATAAAGCTAACAGAATTCTTGGCTTCATACCTAGAAGTATAAATAATAGAAGTCCTCAGGTTGTTCTTCAACTCTATATATCCTTGGTTAGGCCTCATTTAGACTATGCTGCTCAGTTCTGGTCACCATATTACAGAATGGATATAAATGCTCTGGAAAACGTACAGAGGAGGATGACAAAGATGATCCCATGTATCAGAAATCTTCCCTATGAGGATAGACTGAGGGCCCTGAATCTGCACTCTCTCGAAAGGCGTAGAATTTGGGAGGATATAATCGAGGTGTATAAATGAAAAACAGGAATAAATAAAGGGGATGTAAATTGCGTGCTGAAAATTTCCAGCCAAGACAGGACTCGCAGCAATGGTTTCAAGTTGGAAAAATTCAGATTCAGGAAGGATATAGGAAAGCGCTGGTTTGGTAATAGAGTTGTGGATGAGTGGAACAAACTACCGAGTACAGTTAATGAGGCTAAAACGTTGTGTAGTTTTAAAAATAGGTTAGATAAATACATGAGTGGGTGTGGGTGGGTGTGAGTTGGACCTGACTAGCTTGAGCTGCTGGGTCTGGTGCCATGCTCCTTCCCCAAGTGGAGGTGACCAGACTGGGTGGGTCATTGAGCTAATCCTGGGGGAGGGGGGGGGTCATGGACCTGCTCTGCATGGGTCAGTAGGCCTGTTGCAGTGTTCTTTTTTTCTTATGTACTTAAAAAAAAAATTCAAGTCAATTTTATGTGAAATTTAAGATTTTATATGCAAAATATGAAAAGGAAGCGGCAAAAGCAAAAGGTACTTCGTCTGCTAGGAATGCTTAAATCATGTCTGAAAAAAAAATTTAGTCAGGAGATTCAATGCAAAAAAAATTACAATTTACCTCATTACAATAGCCCAAGTCTTACCCGAGGAGCGAAAGGATGTGGTGCAATCCAGGTGATTAGCTGACCCATTATTTCTACTTGATAGTAGTAACCTTTTATGGAAATGAACACCTTCCTAAGTGCATTGGCTTCAATAACATAATGCATAAATTCTATGGTTAACCTGCGACACATTTCAATCGTAGCTGAAAAAGCAAAAATATAAAAACATAAATACCCAAACAGAGGATAAAATAAGAGGATAAGAAGAGTACTATACATTTTAGCCTCAGACTGAGACTCTCTTTAGCAGTTAAGTCTTAAAAGTATACAGTGCATATTCATATATTATATAACTTAGCAACAAAAAAGTACACAATGCATACAAAAAATTATTAAGAGTACAGTACCAAGCGGTGTTCGATGTATTGCTGGTAACTTAGAGAAGAGAAAGCAAAGAGTCAGGGGGTCATCCAAATCTCGCAGTGCATTAACAAAGGTAGGGTAACGCTCTCGTACAATGTGATCTAGCTTGTAAAAAGGCTTCTGGGTACAGAGCTTTCTTGACTTTTGTTTATCATTTCGAGACCATGCCTTCCTCATTTTTCTCATAAAAGCCTGAAATATATTGTGAATATTAACAAAAACCTGACACAAAATAGCAGAATATACATTACTGATGTGATCATTACTATTTTGAAGACAAGTGTGGAAACATACTGCATTACAAAATTATCACTTAGTTCCTAAACCCCATATTAAATAGCATTTCAATCATTGCAAGCTAACAATTACAGAAATGGGGTCCATTAATTATATTAAGTTACTGATAATATAACAAAGTTGTACAGTATACTTCAATGCACATACTGAGCTCTACTGTATTTACTGTAATACAGTAATGCATGTCCTAAGAGGCGACTGAAATGGCGGAAGCAGGGGACTAGTAGCCCCTTCTCCTGTGCAAATTATTAACGTTAAAAAGAAAAACTTTTGTTTTTCTTTTTGGGTCACCCTGCTTTGGTGGGATATGACCGGTTTGTTGATTTTTTTTTTAACACGTCAGCTGTTTCCCACCAAGGTAGGGTGAAACAAAAATCAAAGAAAAAACTTTCATCATTCATTCATATGAATGTATGTATGTACAGCCTCTCCTCACTTAGCGACATACTTGTTTACCGATGACTTGGACTTACAACGGGCTCTATGACCAGTATTCATACCTAAATAATATATATTAGAACTGATTTCCTCTATTCTGTTTATTTTAATATACAGTACACTACCGTATAAACATTTAAAAATATACCAGAAATGTTATAAATGGTGCAAAGGTGACATTAAAACAATATCAAAGATGGCTGACCATTATAGTATGCTCCTCACTTAGTGACGAATTTGTTTACCAACGTGGTCTTAGGAACGGAACTCGGTCGTTAAGTGAAGAGAGGCTGTATACGTATTTAATTCAGCATCTGGCATCATTACAAAGTGGGCAGAGCTATAGCAGAGGGAGAAGCGAGCAGTGTCTCAGTAACTCATGACTGCCCATATAAAATACTGTATAATTATACTATTACTATCAATAAAAGTTATCTACCTATCACATTTATTCCAGAATACATATGTATTAGGTTTAACATAAATAATGTAGAAACGTGATAAAAATGCCTAAATTAATAAAAACTGACATTATACAGTGAGGTATTGAAGGTTGGAGGGCAGAGAGAGAGAGAGAAAAAAAAAGTAACCGCAACCATTACAGAAAATGTTACGCGCTATGCGCCTGAAGGGTAACTATAAAAATCACTCTTATCCTATGCAAAGACTGAAAAAAATGTGATTTTTCTCAGCTATGCACACATTTCCTGGAATATCTCAAAAGTTATTGACCTATTTCATGTTGTATTACTGTTAATAATAAACAGACTGAATGAAGTTTCCCAACAAACATTAAACTGAATGTTTTAATTTTGGGTGGTGACACTTTTGAAGTGTCAGTAAGGGGTGATTCCTCGATTAATGATGAATTCGTTTACCGACGTGGTCTTAGGAATGGAACTCCATCAGTAAGTGAGAGGCTGTAAGTACAAAATGCAAACTGCTGAGAAAAAAACACAGGCATGGGGAGATCGGAGCTATGAAGCCAAGTCACTATACAGTACATACTTTGTTATGGGGCTCCGAGCCTAACTTACAGATGAAAAAGACAGATCGAGATTACTGCAAACAGGAAACATTAAGGAACTGATTTATTCACTAACCAAGATTTTAGCCATGGTGGCGCTTATTTTTCTTTGCTGTGCAATTCATCACATATTCTCGATTTTTTTTTTTTTGTAATTTACACAGCATCTCATCAGCTTAGAAAATTTCAGTCTCCCCTTTTCTTATTATATCTACAATTTTGTATGGTTGTAAGACTGGATTAAAACTCTGTGGCCCTTACTGCTTACTCTGAGCAATAGCTACACTTATTAGTGCTTTCTGTGACTGAGACAACTTACCCTGTGCTCTCTGAAATTCCAGATGATTGGTTCATGAAGAAGAAATTGAATATCTTTTAAGAAGTAAAGTGTCTTGATTTTGGAGTCTCCTTTCTGTACTCTTTTCCTATGGCGAGGCTCACGAGGATATATTCCTTTAAGGATACATATTCGCCGAAAATCTCGGAGGGAAAGCTGTAACTTCTTGACAGCTGCATTTCTAGTTATGTACTTTTTAACCTCTCCTGCTTCTCCCTGAAATTGGGTTAATAATATTATGGTTACTGAGATAAGTCAAAAGCTTACTTACACAGAAAAGCAGGATAGCAATAAATAAAATTCAGTAGTGACTGCTAAGGGAAACTGAGGAAGTGGCCCCCCCCTTCTCTACCTCGGTTTTACACATCTGAGATACAAGCGAAAGTTATTACATGAACCCACACAGACTCATGGTGATAAAAAATCTCATTGTTAATACAAGTCCAAAGCATCCTGTTAAAAAATAAACCAATATTTTGACCCAAGGAACTTAGAAAATCCTCACAGATTATTAAAGCATACTAGGAATCTACTATGAGCTGACCAAGAAGCTACTGTAGAGTGAGCATAATTCCTACTGTACCACCAGAGGGTCACATCAACCTAATAACCTCTGCAGCCAATGATCATATGAGTGGCCCCTCAGGTATCTAAATGAGTCATTCTGGGTGTATTACATAATACAGGTTAGCCATCACTAATCCAGCATCAGTGGGACCTGTAGTGTGCCAGATTACAGTGTGTTTAGGTTGGAATACATTTAATTATCCTATCAACAGAGACTCTTTCTGCTACATCTATCTTCATTTTCATCACTGCTTTCGCCTCCACTGGCTTGCTGCTGCACAATTTCTGAGACAGTAGTATAATGATGAAATCTGAGTCAATCTGAAATTATGCTAGCCAAAATTGGTGCCAGATTACTGATGGAACAGTATAACTGACTGCCGAATTAGTGATGACTGACTTGTACATGTCATGCCTATTTAGGAGCACAGCATCAGTATGGAAGCCACACCTGAAAAACATGTCAAGAAACTGGAGAAAGAGCAGAAGTATGCAGCAAGACTAGTTCCAGAGCTGAGGGGAATGGAATTAATGACTCTGGTGGACAGAGAACTATATCTCAATCACTCTGAATACAAAACAGATTTAGGAGGTTGGATTAACAGTAATCTAAAGCCAAGATAACAGTGTGCAAGTGTCTGCAATAAAACTAATATAATTCTCAGTTTCCTGTCAATAAGTATAAATAACACGAGTCTCAAATTATACTTCACCTCTACATATCATTGGTTAGGCCTCATTTAGATTATATTGTGCAGTTCTGGTCACCATATTGCAGAATAGACATAAATATGCTGGAAAGCATACAGAGAAGAATGACAAAGTTGATCTCATGTATCAGAAATCTTTCTTACGAGGATAGACTGAAGGCACTTAATCTGCACTCTCTAGCCCTTTCAGGGTTGGTGCTGTACTAGTATGGCTTGCGCACCAGGGTTGGTACCGTACTTACACGCATAAATTCTAGCACCTTCAAATCTAGGGAGATTAAGCTGGTAGGCCTATATATGAAAGAATGGGTCTATGTGGTCAGTGTGCACAGTATAAGAAGAAAATCCTGCAGCACACAGTGCATGAGAGAAAAAAACTGACCGTGTTTTTGCTTTAAAACAGCGACTTTGCAGTGTATTTTCGTATGGTGTTTATGGTTGTATTCTAGTTTTCCTGGTCTCATTTTATAGAATGGAAGACATATCACAGAAATTGAGATGATTTTGATTGGTTTCACAATGAAAAGTACCTTGAAATTGAGCTCAAAGTAGCAGAAATGTTCGATTTTTGCCAAAGTTCAAAAGTGAACAAATCATGCCTCACGTCCAATACGTCAACTGGTGAGTCTAATATTATTTCACAAGTGCACTGATATTATTTATACCACTTCTACACTAATGCAGTTGTCTGCATAACAGTAAATCTTCTATTTTTTTGTGAGAATAAAAATTCTAAGGTGAAAGCAAAAGAAATGTAAGAGAGGCCTGGGGACGTGACTAATGAACAGAACAAATGTTATTTTAGTGCCAGGAATGTCTGTCTTGTTTATTCTGAACCCTATTTGGAAATTGGCATCTTTTGAAATTTGTGTGAAATTGGCAAAATTGCCAATTTCTGACCACTTTATTGGATAGTTGAAATCGGTAAATGGGTGGTTTCTTGTACTCATTCGATAGAAAAAATGGAGTTCTAGCGAAATAGTTATGATTTTTGTCGACTGGTACATTGGAATTGACCGAAAATTGGGATCACAGTGGGCAAAATCGCCAATGCGTAAATATCGTTGAGACCACTAACTTAGCGAGATCATAATTCCGCAAGTTTTCCATCAAATTTCATACTTTTGGTGTCATTATGATCGGGAAAAGATTCTCTATCATTTCATAAGAAAAAATCATTTTTTTTCGAAAAATTTCCGACCCTGAGAACAAGTTTAGGAGAGGGCCTGCCAACCCTGAAAGGGCTAGAAAGGTGTAGAATTATGGGCAATACGACTGAGATATATATATAGTGGACTCTCCCTTTTCGTTGGGCTCTGTTTTCATGTATTTCAGTTATCACCGACTTTTCTCGTAAAAATATTGGCTCAGTTTTCATTACTTTCCTCTGTTCTCGTCATTGGTACAGTACCTGTCTAAGTGCCACGTGCACACAAAGCCTCCCAAACACGCATTCTGAGGCAGTGTCGCTTTGTTTCTCGATGAGTGAACATTATCCTGTGAGGTCATAGGAAACATTTCATAATAATTCATTGTTTTTTTGCACTTGTTTATTCTGTGTGACTGCTAAATAATCCACCATGGGCCCAAAGAAAGCTGCTAGTGCCAGCCTGTTGATAAAGAAGGTGAGAAACAATAGAATTCAAGAAAAAACTCTTAGCAAAGTACCAAAGTGGAGGAGGAGGAAGAGAGAGGGGAGAATGTGCCTTCTTCAGTGATTCTATGATATGTATAATACTAAAGCAGCAGGAGTCGATAAACGCTATAGCACCAGCCAATGATAAAGTGTAGCACTAACAGTGTAGCAAGTAAGTTAAGCGATTTAAGCAATAGAAAAAGGATGAAACGAAACTAACTCCTCCAGTGTTATTGGAGGTATATAGGGCCACTGACATATGCCGCCCTGTCTATCTTCCACCATCCTAAACCAATGCCAGCATCCCCAAGGTACAATAAGTGTAAATATTTCTTATTTATAAATTATGTACAATGTTTGTGTGTATAGTGTTGGTGGCTTCTGCTGCTGCCTCCATTACCACTAATATGTATGGCTTATGCTCTCAGTGGCCCTTATAAACCCAACATCACCACCACCACTTACTCCTCACATATGTAATGACATATTTTATTCATTCTAGAGTATATATCATGTTTCTATGTTATTAATATTGTTTATTATGTCATATTAGATGAACTGTGATAAATAAATAAGCCCTGGAATAGTCATTCTCTATAAAATGTATTTTTTGTTTATACTTTTGGGTGTCTGAAACGGATTAATTGGATTTACATTATTTCTTATGGAAAAAATGGTTTCAGTTTTCGTGAATTTCACATTTTGTCAGACTCTCTGGAATGGATTAATCAAGAAAAGGGAGGGTCTACTGTAAATGGAAGACAAAAAGGGAGGGGATATAAAGAATGTGCTAAAAATATCTAACCAAGACAGGACTCACAATGGATTCAAGTTAAAAAAAAATTTAGACTTAAAAAGGATATGGGAAAGCACTGGTTTGGTAATTGAATTGTGGATGAGTGGAACAAACTCCTGAGTAGCATCAATGAAGTAAAAAATCTTGGGACCTTTAAAAACAGGTAAGATAAGATTTTGTTTGGATTTTTAACTCCTGAGGGTTAGCCACCCTGAATAACCCAAGAAAAGCAACTGTGCATCATCGAGGGACTGTCTGTCTTATTTCCACTGAGGTCCTGAAGCTTGTCTCACAGGATGCAACCCACACCAGTTGACTAACAATAACAAAAAAAAGCACAATACCATGACTGGAACGATAACAAATAACCCACACACAGAAGAGAGGAGCTTACGACGACGTTTCGGTCCGACTTGGACCAATTACAAGGTCACAAGTTGGACCGAAACGTCGTCATAAGCTCCTCTCTTCTGTGCAGGTTATTTGTGTACAGTTGACTAACACCCAGGTACCCACTTGCTTACTAGGTGAATGGGACAACAGGTGTAAGGAAACATGCCTAATGTTTCCACCCTTGCCAGGGATTGAACCACAGGCATTCAGCATGTGATGCGAGAGCACTGCTTACCAAGCCATGGGTCACCTTGACAAGTACATAAGTGCATGTGGGTGGGTGTAACTTGGACCTGCCTAGCATGGGCCTGTAGGCCTGTTGCAGTGCTCCTTTCTTATGTTTCCACCCATGCTGGGGATTCAACCATGAACATTCAGTGTGCGAGGTGAGTGCACTGCCAACCGAGCCACAGGACACCACAAAAATTATAAAAGGTCATTAAGTAAAAACAAATAGACATAGGTAATTTAATACATACACAAATATTGAACTGGGCCATGTGAGGTAAACATTAATTCATAGAGCAGCACTAAACCTGTAGTGATCATACAGTGCTCGGGAATGGGAAGCAATCAAATATAATTCAAGAAATGGAAGGACAGCTATTATTCCTTGGATGAAGAGCCATTTACCAGCACTCAGCTGGCATCTGAGAGGACCCCAGGTGTTATCCTAGATGAGGCAAGACGTATAGGCAAGTCTCCTAACACCTACAGTGGAACCTCAAATTTCGAACGTATCGCTTATCGAAGTCTCGAAAAAAGAACCCTTTTTACGAACCAACTTTGCCCCTATTATCGAACTCGCCCCTATTTTCAAACCGCCGGGTACCGGACCTGTCCGGCAACCCACTCTGTCCGTGTCCCCACGCAGGCGCCATGAGCCAGTCTGGTTTTGTTGATGCTTGAGTGAACACTAACCTGTGATCTCATTCAAACATTTTACAATTATTTCATTGTGTTTAGTGCTTGTGGGACTGTGAAATTAGCTACAATGGGAGCAATGAAACTTGCTAGTGGTACCCCTGTGGTAAAGAGAGTGAGAAATACCATAGATGTGAAGAAGGAAATAATACAGAAGTGGAATGATGTCCAAATGTTTGTGGAGAAGTACCACCCTGAGCAAGCTGAAACAAGCCATCTTTGCAACAAGTTCAGTGACAGAACCATGTCCCATTTTAGGGAAATCTTAAAGAGGCACCAGAAATAGAGGACTGTGGACATTTATTTTGTGAGACAGGGGTTCAGTGACTAAGCTGGTCCTAGTGGCATTAAAAGACAGAGAAGGGAAGTAACCCCAGAGAGGGCTTTGATACCTGAAGTCCTCATGGAGCGGGATTCCCCTTCCAAACACTAACCCCAACCCCTTCTCTCCTCCTCCCTATCTTCCAGATGCCATCACCAATCTCCAATAAAGGTAAGTAAAATGTTATTTCATATGTTTATTTAAATTTATTAATACATAATTGAATGCTATATTTGTTGTATGTAACTATAAATAATCTCTATAAAATGTATTTTTTTTTTGTGAATATTTTTGGGTTTCTGGAACGGATTAATAGTATTTCCATTATTTCTTATGGGAAATATTGCTTCGCTTTTCAGATTTTTCAAATTTAGAACTAACTCCTGGAACAGATTAAGTTTGATATTTGAGGTTCCACTGTACTTCTCACTGCCTAGCAGTAAATATATATAGGAGTTAGTCTACTGTTGTGAGTAATATGCTAGAAGAGATCTACAAGGAACTGCAGGGAAATAGCACTGATTGGCTGTCTTGGAATATCTTAGGTCACCATCCCTTGTGGGTTGTTATTACATTCAAGGGGAGTGCTAAACCCGTAGGGGGGTCATAGAGCGCCTGAGGAATGAAAAACATTCCATCAATCAACCAATTTTTATTTACTTACAAGATTACATTGAGATTATAAAATTACAAAAATGATTTGCAGTGCAAAGAGAGCCACTATCATGCCTAGGCATTATGGGCAGACTTAATTTAATGGCTTACAGACTACATAATACTAAAGAAATTGAACGTAGTTTAAGTTGTGCATCTTGTTTATTTATAGTACACAGTAATTTCACTCAAATTACAATAGTTTCAATAGTAAATGTTGTAATTATATTATGGGAATATAACATTGTGAGTTGTTGAAAGTTTACAGTATGAGAATGCTACAATTGGGTAGTAATGGTTTGGGTAGGTATTTATACTACAAGGTAGTTTTAATCAATATATGAACTTTGAGTGTCACATTTTGAAGTTTTAAGATTTAGATAATTAGGAGATTTTTGGTAAAGTTAATAATTAATTAAATACCGAGTATTTAGTTTAGGGTGATTAAGTGGTTTTTGAGAAGAGTCTTAAACTGATGTTCAGAGCGGGTTACTTTAGTATTAAATGGTAATGAATTCCAAATTTTCGGGCCCTTTATGTGCATAGAGTTTTTATAAAGTGAGATATGGACACGAAGTACATCAAAATGAGATCTATGTCTTCTGTTATGGTATAGTGACCTGTTAAGGTTGGTGAGAAGTTTGAGTGCAGGGTTTATGTTTGAGTGTAGTGTTCTATATATGTAGTAGGCAGATGAGTAAGTATGGATTTTCTTTACGTTGAGCAGTTTTTGAATATTGGTGGAATATGTTGTCAGGAGTGGGAATTTATCATCATTCTGACTGCAGCCTTTTGCTGGGTTATTAGTGGTCTTAGGTAATTTAATGTTGTTGATCCCCATGCACAAATTCCATATGTGAGATAAGGGTAGATGAGTGAGTGATACAGTGCCAGGAGAACTGATAATGGAACATAATACCGTATCTTTGATAGTATGCCTACTGTCTTAGAGATTTTCTTGGAAATCTGCTGTATATATGTCTGGAATCTGAGGCTATTGTCAAGGTGGATTCCTAGGAATTTTCCCTCTGTGAGTCTTGTGATGAGTGATCCGTTTAGCATTATATTAAGTGGAACATTTTTCAACTGTTTCCAAACTTAATTCATGCAATTTGAGCATTGGTCCCATTCCTTAGAGCAAGAGCCCTTCGGGGTTAATAATCCAGATAAAATCTTCTTTCTAGAAGGGACTGAATTATTATTGTATGTGTAGATGTGCTGCCTTAGCGGCCATGTAACACATGGAGAGTCAACCAACACTCATCATCGTGTAAATAACACTAAATCCATTTAATAATCTTCTCACTTTTGAATATTATGTCGGTCTGACAGTTACACCTCAAACACAAACCACAGTGACCAACACCTTACCTTCTTCTTCTTTATTCCTGCCATTTTAGTAGAGAAGCAAAGCAGCAGCAGCAGCAGCAGACCGTCGCGTGTTTACTGGAACTACTGTTTGTCTTCATTATTCCTCCAAATATCTTAAAATAAGTTAAATTTGCATTATATATTCTACTGCAACATGTTTAAAAAAAACGTAATATCAACAATTTATCAAGAAAATTATAAATCTAGTATTATTATTTAAAACAATTTTGTTACTTGCGAATGCGGAAAATGGTAGTTCATTTGTTAAATAAATAAGAAGAGAGCAGCGGAGCTGCTGAAAGATATATGCGCAGAAAGGTGTATTTCTCTCATTGTATATATTAAACCAAGAGTTTACTTTAATGCCTGTTGGCTTTAACTCCCATTAAATGACCTAAATAACACTTTCTCAAATATTGGGCACTAGTAAATTCACCAAATCTAAAGAAATAATTCTAACTAAACCTAATGACCTTCCCTCCTACCTTTGGATACACCATATAAACTAAATGATTGCTTTTCAACTACTGGAACAAATCTTGTCAGTAAAATCTCAAACTCCCAAGACTAACAACTGTCAATCTTGATCACATCTCCAGCAATCAAGGAGCTAAATACAGAAGGAGGAAACTTATTCTCAAACCAGAACACAGAGACAACTTTATGAACCACTTGGATCAATGGTATAAGAATTACGAGCCCATTGGCACACAAAAATTTAATGATGATTTAGTTACCACTATTGAGAGTGTCCTCACAGATCAAGTGGGCAGGAATAGAAAACAAAGACCCTCCACTATAAATAACAATAAAAACCAATGTAAATACTATAATGATCTAGAGCTACGCGCTACGCAATCTAACACATGCAGCTAGGAGGACTGGTAAAGCATACTGTGAATGTAGAACCCCAGACCTGCTCAGAACATTCCAAGCAAGGAATAGAAAGCAAGAACTTAGGCAACAGGAATGGGAACAGTTTGTTAGTGGATTAAATAGGTCCACCCCTTTAAGTTTGGCTTGGAAAGGTATAAATAAAATAACCAGGAAAAAGACTGGCAATGTTGCTCATCCCTTTCCTCTTGAAAAAGCAAATGACCTCATAAATGACTGGTCCAAAACATCCAGGCATGAAAACCTTCCATCTCATATTAGAAAAAATTTAGAGAGTACTTCTGAAGAAATGTTGAAACTGATTAATTTTATGAGCCAAAATATTGATGAGAGTGATTGCCTCTTTACCGAGTATGAATTAGATAATGCATTAACTAAAGGTCGATCAACTGCTCCTGGAGAGGATGGTATAACCTATGATATTCTCAGAACTCTAAGGCACGTGCCTGATAACCCTTTGTTGGCACTGTATAATCTCAGTTACACTGAGGGCGTTCTTCCTACTTCCTGGACCAATAGTCTCATTGTGCCTATCCCTAAGCCCCAACAGCCTGATACATTTAGGCCGATCTCCTTAACTAGTTGTCTTTGTAAAACTTTTGAAAGAATGATACTTAACAGACTGTACTACAGAATCAGACACCAACTTTCCCCCTACCTCTATGGGTTCATGAAAGGTAAAAGTGTGCAGAACTGTATTTCCACCTTTCTCACTGCACACACCTCTACTAGTTTTACCACTTTTCTTGATCTAAAATCTGCATTTGATATTGCGAACAGAACCGTTATACTACATGAACTAGCCAAAATGAATATTGGTGGTAGCTTACTCTGCTGGATAATAGGATACCTGTCAAATAGAGTATCCTCTGTCCTTTACCAAGGCTTCAGAAGTGAGTCTAAAGAAATGTCTTTAGGTACACCGCAGGGAGGAGTTCTTAGTCCCATGCTATTTAATATTCTGATTAATGCTCTCCTAAATGCTCTACCTGCCTCACCTAAACATATAGCTATAAGCTATGCTGATGGTATCATGATCCATACAAAAGGGCATAAGAAGATGAGTACCATTCTTAATGAAGTTCAAGCAATTTGTAATCGACTAGGCCTCATAATGTCTTCCTCTAAAACGAAGATATTAACAAGCAAACGACATCCCCCACCCATCTATTTGCAGGGTGAAATCATTAGCTACGTTAAAACTTACAGATATCTTGGTGTAGATGTACCCTTTAACAAATTCACTATACCACAACTAAATAAGAAATGCAAAGCTAGGCTAAATGCTCTCAAAGCTGTTGCTGGCTACAACCCCAACTATGGTGCTAATGTGAGAATCGTGAGAATGATGTACATAGCCTATGTTAGGTCCTTAATTGATTATGCTGCTCCCATGATGATGTTAGCTAGAGAAAGTTCTCACCGACCCTTGGAATTAATGCAAAATGAAGCTCTCAGGATTATTCTTGCCTGTCCCAGATCTACAAAAGTTCTTAACATGAGGAAGGACCTTAGTATTTCTAGTATCAGTGATAGGATTGTTGAGATTAACACTGTACTCGGTATTAGAATGTTGAGAAACGAACCAGACACTGTCACAATGAATCTTACCAAATGTCTAGAGGTAAATACACACAGATCTAAATGGATTGTGAAAACGTGCAATTGCATTAAGTTTTATTACCTGCATGAACTGTATTACTGTAGGCAACAAGAGCATTTCACCCCTCCGTGGAAGATGTGTTCATTTAATATCACATATCTGCAAGTCCCTCCCAAGAAGCTCATTGCTAGTAATCCCTTCCTTAAATCACTTGTTAGAGCAACTGCTCAGAAGAAATTTCTCACCTAGCTGGTAGTAATAAGTTATCACAAGTTATATACACTGATGGATCTAAACAGGAGTCTTCTGGCAGGGCTACATCTGCTCTTGTTGCCATCTCCCTAGTTAAGAACGATAATAAATTTGTTGAGTTAGGCATAAGAATTAACAACTGGGCGTCTACACTGCAAACTGAATTGTTTGCAGTCCTAATGGCGCTAAAGCTAACCTATGACACTGAGCTTGACTCTATCATCATTACTGATTCTATGTCATCATTGAAGGCTTTTGACTCATATAATGACTCCAACAACATGCTCATTGGAGAAGCCAGGTATAGATACTAAAAAATTAGGGACAAAGGAATTAATGTACAATTGCTATGGATTCCATCACACATTGGATTACTCCTTCATGATAAAGTTGATATGTTAGCCAAGAAGAGTACCCAGAAGGAGAATGTAGAATATAACTTTGGTATAACTGTGTCTAGCATTAGGAATAATATTAGGAGAGAAGTAACTAGTGAAAATGATTGTTATAGGATTGCAGTTAGAAGCCTGAGTAGATCTATAACCCACTATGATAACATGAACGTAGATAAGTATGTTTATGGAGCAACGTGCAATGTGAACAGACTGACTGATGTTGTAGTGGCCAGGCTTAGGGTTGGTTACAAGTACTTCTGGCAGTTTGGGAGACACCCAGATGATGATCAAACTAAATGTAAATTATGTGATCAAGCATATGGTCATTGTCTTGAACACTATGTGCTTAATTGTCCACTTATTGAGGAATACAGAGACAGACAGTATAATAACCTATGTGACATGTCAAGATATCTTATTAATGAAAATAAGATGCCAGATATACTAAGCAAATTTCCTAAATTTGCTTGTAACAGATAAGTGAACTATAGATATGTAGATATAAATCCATATGTATTCCTGTTAACCCTTTGGGGCCTAGTTCCTAGGCCTTTTGTGTATCCATATGCTCTTGCGCTACCGTCCACAGGATGGATATGGGGTGCACAATAAACTAGCCACTTCGGTGGCAAAATCTAATCTAATCTAACTCTCTTGCTCCGGTAAAAGATTATCTCACTATCGCATCTGCTAGAAAAATGACAGGATGGATTTATTTTATTTATTTATTTATTTATCTATTAATTTGAACATGATACATTGAAGTACGAAAGAAATACAGTGGTTAAGTGTAACATGCCAAAGCCCCTTGTATGCAGAGTATTATGGGCAGGCTTAAAATTAACTTAAGATTAACTAAGCAATGATACATTCAGTGATAAACATTATTGTAAACAAATAACAATTAAGCACAAATGAGTATTTCAAAGACAGGTCATATGGTCATTTACTGTGTTGCTGAGCATTCAGTAGAATGGAGTATTCTGTTAGGTAATGTAATTAAAAATAACAAAGTTTAATTGGGTCACAGGTTAAACATTCATGAGATACAATTATTCAGTATTTATTTGGTTGTGGGTGAGTTAATGATTTTTAAGAAGAGGCTTGAATTTATAAACAGTGTTTTTTTTTTATATTCACAGGTAGTGAATTCCAGATTTTTGTGCCTTTTATGTGCATTGAGTTTTTGCATAGTGTGAGATGGACACGAGGAACATCAAAGAGTGATCTGTGTCTTGTGTTATGGTCATGTGTTCTGTTGAGGTTGGTAAGGAGATGTTTGAGGGGAGGGTTTATATCAGAGTTAAGTGTTCTATGTATGTAGTAGGTACAATAATAAGTATGGATGTTTTGTATGGTGAGTAGGTTTAGAGTTTTGAATATTGGTGGAGTGTGCTGCCTGTAGTGGGAATTTGTTATTCTAACTGCAGCCTTTTGTTGGGTAATTAATGGTCTGAGATGGTTTATTGTTGTTGAGCCCCATGCACAAATTCCATAGGTGAGATAGGGGTAAATGAATGAGTGATATAGGGCCAGGAGGGCTGACTGTGGAACATAGTACCGTATCTTCGATAGTATGCCTACGGTCTTGGAAATTTTCTTGGAAATTTGTTGTATATGTGTTTGAAATTTGAGTCTATTATCAAGGTGGATTACTAAGAATTTTCCCTCTGTGAGCTTTGTGATAGGTGATCCGTTTATCATTATGTTAAGAGGGACATCTGTACCTCTGTTACCAAACTGAATGAAGTAGGTTTTGTCAGTTTACCTGGAGAGAGTTTTGGGGGTCAACGCCCCCGCGGCCCGGTCTGTGACCAGGCCTCCTGGTGGATCAGAGCCTGATCAACCAGGCTGTTGCTGCTGGCTGCACGCAAACCAACGTACGAGCCACAGCCCGGCTGGTCAGGAACCGACTTTAGGTGCTTGTCACAGCCTGGTTGATCAGGCTCTGATCCACCAGGAGGCATGGTCACAGAACAAGCCGCGGGGGCGTT